TTTGCTTAATAGTGCTGTGCCAGTGTTCATGGCTTAGTGTGGATAACCGAGCTGCAGCTATGTATGGTGAAGGTATGCAAAGACAAACTGTCTTTCCCGAAGTGTAAAATGTCTGTCTGTTCACATCTATGCATGAGTTGAATGAGAAGCTATACCCAGCCTCATTTAGCTGGTGTCATCAGGTAAATGAAGTGTTCACATGGACAAACCTTCCACACTACGGAAAACTAAGTTTTTCCTAATTTTAGTTTTCGGATGGAATGTTTCCACAACATAGCAAGAGTCTCGTTATTATGCAGTCTGCTGAACAGCGCAGTCTCATCTGCTCTGACTGCTGATCGTGACCAGCCTCAGTGACTAAGCCCGGCAAGCACTGAGGGCTAGGGGGCTGAATGAGAGGTTCAGGGTCCTTTGGCTTTGAGATCTGGTGTCTGAGTTTTGCAGGGTTTTATTTGTATGTTGTTGTGCCTCTGGTATTTGCAGCCTGTGGTTTCCTGTCCTCACAGCTTCTGGGATGCCTTTCTATGGAAATTACTGCTTCTCTTTTCCTCTAAGACCATATTAGCAAAAACTGTCTTTTTAAAGTCCTTGTGTCTGTGCCTCATCCGTGTGCTCAAGCAGCAGGGCCCTGTTACCACAGCACAACGTTAGTCCACTCAGCAAGCATGGAGATGCCATGAGTGTGTTCCTCTCTGCCGAGTTACATCCGCGTAACTCTGCCTCAGTTTCCACATATGTAAAAGGAGCTTCCTGCTTCAAGGGTGCATATGAGGACTGAATAAATGGATACACACGAAGAGCTTGCAGTGATATTATGTAACCAAGTCATGATCATGTCTGTCAGCCATGGTTGATGCAACTCTGAGTTTGGGAACAAAGGATAGTTCTCCCAGTAACGAAGTGTCCTGCTCACCAGTTATGTGCAGCTGAGCTGACCATAACTGGTCAACTCCTCCAAGGTTATTACCTTCTTGTTCCTGGGGAAAGAGGCCTCCCTGCTCTCCCTTTTCACAGCCCTGAAAAGGAACAGCTGTTGGCTTAGAGTTGATTTATCTTGGGTTGAGAAACATCCCTGAAGAGAGTGTTGGATAGCTGTGTATCATGAACATAGGGTGCCTGTACTGAAATGTACTACAAACAAATGCAAATATGCCCAGTGTGTTAGAGACCTGTTAGAACTGTGACCTGTAGAGGAGGCAGATGAGGTGGGAAAAGACAGAGTGCATTCTCCGAGGAATCGGGTTACCCAAGCAACAGCCAACACCCTCCAGAGCCGTGGAGTATTTCTTTCAGGGGGGCCCTTGGCAACTTCCTGTGGTGCCGGAGGTGCCACTTAAAAGAACCAAGTGAACAGCTAGTTGGGTCACTTGGGAGGAAGAGGCTTAGGAGATCGAAGCACCACAATCTTCCTTGAGCCAAGAAAGGAGGCCAGAGCCTTAGCTCTGTGGTGATTAGGGCCAGGAGCCCCGAGCCCAGTCCTCACCACCAAGGAAGGCTGTACCACATCAGGGTGACTATTTCTGCCTCAGATGTTGCTGTGAGGGTTGACTGGATCACAGACACTACATGGCTGAGGACCTACTGCTGTTGTTGATTTGTCCCTGGCACATGGATGGTTCAGAACCGGTGTAGCTACCATCATCATGGCAGTGATTTTATCTGTGGAGCCTGCCAAGGCTGCTCCCTGAGGTGGGCTGCTTAGTGTGCAACATAGCTCATGAGGCCACAGTCTATGGGAGGGAAGCCCTCGTGGGGAGAGTAGAGTCCCCTACTGTCTTCTGTTTGTTCTCTGGTACCCATAACTGTGGCTCTTCAATGCATGGACCAATGCTACACAGCCACTTGAGCCACTATGAGCACCTAAAGGGCAGGTGACTTCTGAAATTACCTGGGAAGAGAAAAGTTCCTGAAACAAATTGATGCCTAAAGTTGCCTATAGGCCAAGCAGGCCTGCTTGTGATGAAGGACATTAAATTACTGATAAAACTAGTCAGTTCTCCCCCTGTGTGGAAGGAAGTCAGTCCTCCATGAGCCTAGTGGTTGCTGCGTAGAATGAAGCTGGCTTAAATCCCTCTGACATGGTTGCCCTGTATGTCCTCATTTTGCCCTTAGAATGATTCTGTGGGAGAGACACAGCCCCACTTTACAAAGCCAGAAACAGGCTCAGAGAGAACCTGTTGTGTCATAGAGCCACTATTCAGTCCATGACAGTTTAATTCCAGAGCCCTTAGCGCCAAAGCAGCTCCAGACATCTCTGGCTACTTTTTTTTTTTTTAATAGTCCTAATGGTTTAGAGTCACAAGCCATGACGTCAAGCCTCCCACCTCTCTGCCCTGTCTACCAGTTGGTTCCCTGCAGGAGCCAGTGCCAGCCACTGCCCACAGCTGAGTGACTCCCACCTTGCAGGCAAGCTCCTGTGGGGTCTTGCTCAAGTGTCCCTGGGCACATTTACTTCACTTCTCCACTGGGGGCTTCCAGGTCCTTCCGTGTGTGTGTGTGTGTGTGTGTGTGTGTGTGTGTGTGTGTGTGTGTGTGTGTGTTCATATGAGAAGATGGTGAAATCTTTTACCATTTAACACAGTCAGTGCTGACAGGGGTGTATAGATCATTCCTTTGTGTATTGTTGACAAGTAGAACAGTTTGCCCCTGTTACTCATGTCAGCTCTTAAACAAAACTAAGCACATTAGATCTAGTTGCTTCATTTTTCCGATGGATATGAATGTTTAAACTTGGCAGGTGCTTTGTGTTGGAGTTGCAGTCTACATCATCCTTTAGAATCTTTGTCCTTTGGCTTAATATAACCTAGTCTCACTGTCAGACTTGAGATAAGGCCTGGGTCAGATCCCTGCCCGTAGTGTCAACCTCTGAAACAATGCTGTCCTCCTACAATTTATCCAGGTCTTTTTTTAAAAAAAAAAATTTTTTTTAAATCTTTGGTTTTTTTTTTTTTTTTAATATCTATTTGGAAAGTCAGATAAATGAGAGGAGGAGAGTCAGAGAAAAAGATCTGCTGTCTGCTGATTTCACTCCCCAAGTGGCTACAATGGCGATAGCTACACTGATCCAAAGTCAGAAGCCAGGAGCATCTTCCAGGTCTCTCATGGGTGTACAGGGTCCCAAGGCTTTGGGCCATGCTTGACTGCTTTCCCAGGCCACAGGCAGGGAGCTGGATGGGAATCAGGGCCACCAGGACACAAACCAGCACCCAAATAGGATTTCAGCACATGCAAGGCAAGAACCTTAGCCACTAGGCTACTGCGCTGGGCCCTATCCAGGTGTTTAATCATTCTTACAGCCTGGAAATTGTTTTTGAGTCCTAAAACAATTCCCTCCTGCTGCATTTGGTCTTCTTCACTGGAAACTATTATTCCGTTCTTCGCAGCAATTCCTAGGTTACTAAGTCACATTAATAACAGCAGAGTTATTAAGGATATAGTGTGTTCCAGAAGCTGCATGAGCTATTTACTGTTTATTTCTGTAATCCTCAAAGTATGTCTTTTTTAAGAAAAAAAAGAAAGAATTGTAAGGCAGAGTTAGAGAAAGAGAGAGAGAGGAGAGAGAGAGAATCTTCCCTCCATTGGTTTTTTCCCACAATGACCACAATAGCCAGGGCTGGGCCAGGAAACCCAGATTCCGAAACTTCCTCCAGGTGCTCAGACCATCCTCCACCGATTTCCCAGGCGTATTAGCAGGGAGCCAGAGTGCAAGGGTTAACACCTGACTCTTAAACTGGAGCTCAGATGGGATGCCAGCATCACAGGTACAGATTTAGCCTGATACACTACAACACAAGCCCTGAAAGTGTTTCTTCAAGAGGAAGTATTTTCACTCTCGATTTGCAGAGGAGGGAATCAAGGGCTAGCCATTCGAATGGGATCTCCACTCCAGTAGATAACTGGGCCCAGGGTTGAACCTGGCTGATGAGAAACAAGGCCCTGCTCTTTGCACCTGTCACAGCTAAGTGTGGCCTTCCCTTTTCGAGGACGGCTAATTCCTGTAAACTTTGAAGAATCCCTGGGTCTGTGCATGCGCGTTTGGACCCCTTATGGGAACACCTCTGCCAGTAGAGAACTCAGTGTTCTTGGGTTAGGGGCTAGTTTGCTTATTTAGTATGCCCCACTGAGGTCTGATTCACATAGTATAAAATCGGACCTTTAAGGTTCCTGGTATATTTGCAAGGTTGTCCAACCCTCACTACAGTAAATTTTTAAAGGGTCCTCATCACCCCCAAACAAAACCTTATCTTAGTCAAGATATCAGGGCTTGTAAACAACAGAAACTTGCTTCTGATGGCGTAGGAGACTGGAAAGGCCAAGGTCAAGTGAGGAACTGTCTCCTGGTTCACGTCTGGTGCTTTCTCCCAGGAGCAGGGGACAGGGGAGGTCCCCAGGGTGTCTGTCACGAGGACACCAGGCCCCGGGATGAGGATTGTCTTCATAGCCTGAGCACCTCCCACAGGCCTTGCCTCTGCAAGTCATCACCCACCAACCTGAGGATTCGGATTTCAACATGGAGTTCGAAGGGAGCAGGGAAGATGGAAGGATACAACCTTTCAGACCCAAGCCCATATCTCCTTCTTACCTGACAACCCTTAACCCGTTGCCGCCTCCTGGGATTTGCCTTTTCTGGACGTGTCTCCTGGATGGGTTCACACATGGCATGGCCTTTTCCCCTTAGCGCAGCAATGTCAGGGTTCATCCGCACCGTGGCGTGGTCATGCTTCGTTCTTTCTCATGGCTTAGTACTAGTTCATTGTGCTGCAAAATCAGTTGGTTTCTCCATTCATCATTCAACTAACACTTAAGATCCCATATGTTAGCCATTGTGTGTAGCAGTGCTGTGTGCCTCCTTGTACAGGCTTTTGTGGATTTCAACTCATTTGTTTGAAACTTCTTCCTTAGTGGTGTGGTAAGCCTCCTACGGGACAGAAAACCTGCAATGACCACAGGGGCGGTCCTGGCTTCTGGGTGTGTTTCTACAACCTTTGTTTTTTTCGTAGACCTGTCCTTCATGTGGAATCACCTTTGCTCCCAAATCGGAAGCTGGTGCAGAAGGTGGCGCTGTCCAGAATGGCTGTCAAGATGAGCATAAGAACAGCACCAAGGTAACAGGCTCATGGCTGTTGTTCCTGTCACTTCCTCTCCTGGCGCATCCACCTAAGGTGACATTCCTCTCTTGTCAACTTCTTAGTTCTGAGAGTAACTCCTGTTAGGTAACACTGTGCCACACCTTCTGGTCCTCTGGGCCAAGAACAGCCTGATAAAGAACAGGGTGGGACCTTGGAACCCACCCACACAGAGTAGAAAGAGGACCTGCTGACTGGGTGGGACTCCCTACGTGGGTGGTGAGAGTTATAAAACCTGTGCATGAGAGTGGTTAAGGACTGATTTTTGTGCTAGAAGCTGAATTCAGCATGTGATTGAAAATGAGCATGCCATGGGGGTGAAGGGCTTTTTCCAAATGGGAAACAACAGCGGAGGCCAGCCAGAGGGTGAGCAGCTAGGAGGCTGCTGGGGCACTAGGCGTTGGGACCAGTCTGGGCAGAGGGGAAGATGGGATGAAACCCACATCTGGGAGCCCGTCTCACGAAGGCTGCCTTTCCCAGGGAGGCCTACATCTCTGTCATCCTCCGCCCTGTCATCTGCCATAGGACCTGTGTGAGCAGGTCAATCCTTGTCTCTCATACCCCTCTCAACATCCAGAATATCAGCCCCTGTCTTCCTCCACCATTGCCTAAGCCACACACCAATAGCTCTGGGCTTGTTTTCCCTGAACTCATCCTTGCACAACCCCTGGTCCTGGGATAAACAAACTCCCAGAGCTTCAGTTCTCCACTCTGTCTCGCTTACTGGCTCCTCCCATGTCCCACCTTCCTGGCTGCCTGATGGAGCATTCAGATGAAAGGGACCTTGCGGGTGTGGGCCCCTCTGACATAAGTCAGAGTGTCCAGCAGCAGCTCAGGGGGCTCCAGCAGGGTCAGAGGTCAAGGTGGGGAAAGCTCACATCCTGTGCCTCCACCTTACTTCCCTGTGTTTGCTTCCTCTTCGTCTCGAGGCAGGCTTCTGGAGGACCTAACCCCAAAACTCAGAATGGACTTCTGAGCCCTCCCCAGCAGGAGAAGCTGACCAACAGTCAGACTTCCTTGTGTGAGATCCTGCAGGAAAAGGGAAGGTGGGCAGGGGTAAGCTTGGATCAATCAGCTCTGCTTCCACTAAGATTCAAGAACATCCGGGAGAAGACCGATGCCCACTTTGTGGACGTTATCAAAGAAGACAGGTAAGCCCAGGGTCGTCTGTAGTGATGGCAGAGGTGTGCAGGTGAAACACTCTCCCATCATTAACATATTACTTTATTCTATTTTGCATTCATTTGAGCCTTAGAATAGTTGCCCAAATTGTAGGGAGAAATTTCTTGATATCCTCTGCCCAGATGACCAGTTTTACGCACGTGAATAGTCTATTTTATCACTCTCCTCCTCTCTCCCTCTCTTTCTCTCTCCCTGTGACATCTATTTCTGAATTTTTCTGAACCATTTGAGAAAAAGGTGCAAAGTCATGGTATTTACCCTTTATACTAAAACAGGAATATTATGTGATATAGTTATACAGAAGTACTTCAAAAAGTTCATGAAATAATGGACCTAAAATACAAATTAATGTCCGTATAAAAGCATTTGAAATCCAGTATATGAGATTTTTCATACTATGAATTTTTGTGAACGTTTTGAGTCTCTCAAATTCAGGAAATTTCACGCTGATCTGATAGCTTATCTAATTTGCAGTTTCTATTCCAGTTTTGTCAGCTGATCCAACGTGTCCTGGAAAGCGTTTTCCCTAGCTTAGGATCATGTGTTCCATTGTTTGATTGTTCTTCCTCAGATGTGCTTGGTCTCCATGATGCCGATGTCCCAGTCCTTGGGTAGAATATTCCTGATGTTGGTTTAGTGTACTGTTTCCTCCTGAGTCATGGAGGTCCTGCCCCCCCGCCCCCCGGCCAGATGCCACCTGAGTGATCCTGGCGCCTTTGGAGGATCTTGTGTCAGAGGCACATTGCTGATTCCTCGTAGGTGATGCTCACCTTGGTACATCAGCAGGGTCTTTCCAGTTCCTTCCATGAGGAACTGTAGTTAGCTGCTCTCTCCCTGGGACTAATGAGCAACCTTGTAAGAGTCCCATTCTTCATCAAGTTTCCCTGGAGTTCATTCCCATTGATGATTATTCCCACTGATAAAGTCTTTACTATGATGTTTCAGAATTGTGATATTCCAGCTGCATCTCTTGCACAGTCATCACTTGGTTCTTGGCCTCCCACCTTAAGGAAGGACCCTCCCCATCCCTGCTTTACCTGCCCGTCCTTGTCCAACCTGAACTCCTACATTGTCTCATGGTCTATCGGGCATCACTGTCAATACCGTTTTTTTTGGTTACTGTCCTGGTCCCCAGTCTGGCTAAAGGGAGCCTCCTTCAGGCCGGCTCCTGCAATTTTCCCACACTTCCCTGTTGTGTCAGGACAGTTCCAGGCTGAGTTTTTGCATTCCCTGCTCTGGCTCCAGAAATCCTATTGTTTAGGTACTCTAGCTACTAATGTTGCATAAAAGGTTAGTGTCATCCAAGAACATTTTCTGTGGGATTTCAGTCCTGATCCATTAAGTGGGACTTGTTTTGTGGCCTCAGTGTGGTTGGTTTTGGTGAACAGGCATAAGAGTAGAATATTCATTCTGCATTTGTAGAATGTTGTGATTCACAAGGATCAATAAAGTCCAGCTCGTTGGGAGTATTACTGTTCAGATCATCTGTCTGTTATTTGTTTTTTCTATTTTTCTATCAGTTGCTGAGATATAAGTATTAAAATATCCAGCTATGTCTGATTGTGGAAGAGTGTATGTCTCTTTTTAGTCCTGACAATTTTTGTGTCAAGCATTTTCACTCTTTTTAAAACATGAACACACGTTTATAAGTGTTACATGTTGTTGATGAATTCTTTTTTCATCTCACAGTGTCCCTCTTCATCCTGGGTCATTCTCTTTGCCTCAAAACCTGTCTGTTCTGATCCTGAGCCACATTAGCTTACTGTTTGCATACAGCATCCTGTTTTCTTCTTTCTTTCTGCCTGTCCATGTGTTTCTCTTGCTTTTTTTATCCATTCTATCGGCATTTACCTTTTAGCTGTGTTTTAATGTGCTTTGATAGTTTGGCCTCTCGGCATCATTTTTCTTTTAGTGATTGTTGTGGGAATACACATCCAGGAATTGTGGAAGTCCTCTGAGAGTTACTGTTATATCATTTCCTTCCAAATGAAGAAATAGTGAAACTGCTCTGGTGTGTCACCCCATTCTGATTACTTCCGCTGTAGTAGTGACATGTGTTATGTCTTCATCTGCAACAAACTCTCCCCTTGGAGATGTTGCGCTAGTCTCTGTGGACTGCCCCTCTGCTGAGTGTGGTCGTGTGTCCGACATGTTGGTGTGCCTAGTCATTTTTGGATTGTGTTGAAGACGTGTACGCTGCTTAAAACCTCTGGATCTTGTTTTATTCTCCTTGAGGAGTATCAGTTTTGCTTGTCTGGCTTGGTAGTTAGCTCTCTGAATCTCAACTCCGGAGGTTTTCTTCCTGGAGATGGCAGAGGCCATTCTGACCCTCACTGGTGCTTGGTGGCCACCAAGTGCATACACACATGGGCGCAGCCAGAGACCTGAATAGGGTTTATCTGAAGAACAAGATTCTTTTCCCTTTGGGCTATATAATCTCATTTTCTACCTGTTATCACCCCAAATCCCATTTTCTATCTTTTTAAGTAGGTAAAACTGTGGCTTGTTAATCTGCTTTAGCCACCCTCCACATTCTCTTGACTAAATCCTGAGGCACATGCTTCAAACAAAGGTAAAAATGGGGAATTCAGCTTCTTCCATGTGAGACTCTGTGTTCTGCCCACTTTGGTTGTTGTCCACGGTTTATGTATCCATCTGCATGGATACATAAAGGAACTCTCTTCTAGTCCCAGAGGCAGACCTCCCAACACTGTTAGAAGGGGCAGAACAGCTCACTGTAGGGTTGGCTCTGTGCTTGAATGCTGGCGTGTAGCCATTGCACATCCTCCTCGCAGCCTCTTGGTTGTTCTTTCCTCTATCCAAGAAGTGAGATGGCTGACATCAGGAGATAGTCTGGGATAAAGCAAGTTACTCTTCATAAGTACATTGCCCCTGAAGAGAGTGTCTGCTTTGCAGCTGGGACAGGAAGGCATGCTTGCAGGGTGAGCCCTGCTGTGCACCATGCTGAAGCAAGGCACTTTACACAGCTTATCTGGTTGCACTGTGATAGCTGCTGTAAGACAGACAGTTCCTCATGGCTGTATTTGCCACCTGAAATCACGTCAACACTCTCCCCTTGAATTTATGGTAATTTTCTGCAGTACAAAAAAGAATACTACTATTTTCTGGCAATTTATCAAAGAACGAGAAAGTCACATAAAGCTGGCTTGGTTGCTGTGCCATTAAAGCACTCGAGCCTCTTCATTTCTCAGGTCTCACATACAATCTGCATATGCGACAATAGCACCAAAATTACCCCAACTGTAAACACAATTCTGTGATAACAACCTGTTTGCTTTTGCGGTAGTAATTACTGTCAGTCCTCTGAATGACAGGACAGCAGTTCTGATTTGTGTTCTCATCTGAAGTCAGTATAAGCTCGCTCAGTGCAGGGATCCACAGCTTTTTCAGAAAAGATCATTTCTCAGAACAAAATAAAATAAATACTGCCTTCCTCCTCTTCTAATTATGGGTGTCAGGGTTCTAGTGATGTGTGTTTAGTCAAGATGAATGGTTTGGGCCTAGCGTGGTGGCCTAGTGGCTAAAGTCCTTGCCTTGAACATGCTGGGATGCCAGATGGGTGCCGGTTCTAATCCTGGCGGCTCCACTTCCCATCCAGCTCCCTGCTTGTGGCCTGGGAAAGGAGTAGAAGATGCCCCAAAGTCTTGGGACCTGCACCCGTCTGGGAGACCTGGAGGAAGTTCCTAGCTCCTGGTTTCGGATTGGCACGGCATCAACCATTGCGCTCACTTGGGGAGTGAATCATTGGACGGAAGATCTTCCTCTCTTTCTCTTCTCCTCTCTGTATATCTGACTTTGTAATAAAAATAAATGAATCTTTTTTTAAAAAAAAGATGAATGGTCACTCTTGGGTAGGGTTGGAGGCCTGAGGTTTGTAAAGGGGCCGTTGCACAGTAGCTGTAACATAGTGACCCTCAGATGAAGTACATGTGCTGTGTTTGTTGAGTGCTTTGGTAGCTAATTGTCATCTTCTGGTAGAAAGGAGCACAGTGATTGGCTGACTGTTGATGGATTGCATTTTTGTGTCTTTTAGCCTGATGAAGGATTATTTTTTTAAACCGCCCATCAATCAGTTCAGCCTGAACTTCCTGGATCAGGAGCTGGAGCGATCCTACAGAAGCAGCTATCAGGAAGAGGTGCGTGTTCCCTCATAGCTGTGCCAAGAAAACATGTTGCGCTCATGGGCCAGGTCACCAGCAAATGAGAAGAGCATGAGGGCAAATGCTGATTTATCTTCACATCCTAGACCTTTTCTTCTGCAGCTGGTGTCCCCCAGCCTGGAAGGCCTAGCCACATCTGCTGTGGCTTTCTAAATGAGACTGTCCACCTGCTGTTGGCCTGCCTTCTGTCCCTTGAAAAGGACACAGGAGCTCGGAGGAGAGAGGGCTCTGCCTCTCTCTGTAGGACTCACAGTCCTTCAGTCACCTCACACTACATACTTGCCTCTTTGTCGTTTGTACTCCTTTCCCTTCCCACAGCAGGCTGTCAGCTTCCCAGAGACACAGTTTCTGTCTGTCCCAGCACCCAGCACAGAGCCAGACCAGAGCAGGCTGAGGGAATGCATACGTATGCTCGTGTGGGATGTGTGTGTTAGCCTTCGCCATCGTCCGCTGTGAAGACAGCTGTCATGCTGCCTCAGCCTGGAGCCCAGCAGTCAGCGGCCATTCCCGGCCACAGCCTTTATAGATGCAGCTGTTAACCCGCCCGTCAGTAACTCCTCGTTCTGCTGAGACACAGAATGGTTTACATTTGACTGCTGTGTGTCCCCGGACATGTTTCTTAACTTCTCTGTGCTTTAGTTTCCTCACCATGAAATGGAACACGTCTACCTGAGCCCTGGTCAGGAACAGACCACACACTCAGGGAGCCATACTCTGTGGCCATCCATTAGTCTTCATTCTGTGTCTTCTGCTCTCAACAGGTGATAAAGAATTCCCCTGTGAAGACATTTGCCAGTCCCACCTTCAGCTCCCTCCTGGATGTGTTTCTGTCTACAACAGTGTTCCTGGTCCTCTCCGCCACGTGCTTCTTAAAGTATGGGGCAGCAGCCATGCCTCCTCCGCCAGCTGCCCTGGCGGTCTTTGGGGCAGCCCTGCTGCTGGAGGTGCTGTCACTCGTGGTGTCCGTCAGGTAAGGTGCCTGCTGCTGGATTCAGCTCCAGCACTTAGCCTCTAGCTCCCCCTTCTGGCTGTACAGCTAAGGGTGGGACATTCTGACTGCAGCGCACACGCCAGTCTTCAGAGTCAGCTGACTGTCCCTCCCCCTCCTTGGCCACACTGTGCGGTTTAACCCCACTGGCTTTTGCCAAAAGTGGGAACACATGTATAGAAAAGGCCAGTGCCCACTGCAACCCTGACACTGCCAGTGTTTCCTGGAGCTCCCACATCAAAGATCTGAAAGGGGAAGGTGGGAAGACAGGAAATGGGAAAGGGAGTCAGGAGGGGAAAGAGGATAAGCATGAGGGCCAGCAAGTGCCACACTGTGCATCCTGTGGAGGGAAATGTCGGCCTGAGTCTTCACAAGCATGGTTCAAGGCAATAGCATCAGAAGCAAAAGAACAACTCTAGGTGGAATTTCATCAAGGTTTAAAACTTTATGCTGCAAACAATACGCTCAAAAAAGTTAAAAGGTTGGGTGTTTGGCCTGCTGTTGACACACACGTTTGGGTGCCCATGCCCCTGAGCAGAATGTCTGAGGTTAAGTTCCAGCACCGTGCTTGACTGCAGCTTGCTGCTAATGTGCAACCTGGGTGTCAGTGGCGAGGCCCGAGTTAGCATCCACGTGAAAGACCAAATTGACTTCCTAGGTCACAGCCGGCAGTGTCATCTGGGACATGAAGCAGTAGAAGGGAGTGCTCACTCTCACTGTGTCCAGTAAATAATTTTAAAAAGGAAGGAAGGAAGAAAAGAAAGAAAAAAAGAAAGAAGACTCACAAAATGGGAGTATTTGCAGGTCATATCTATGAAAAGAACCAAAGATCGAGAATAGGAGTGGGGAACCTTTTGTCTGCTAAGAGTCATTTGGATATTTATAACATCCTTGGTGAGCCACACAAAATTGTCAGCCTAGTAACTAGGGCTCTAGATATATTGAATTTCAAACCCCACCTGCAGTTGCCTTGGCACAGCCAGTCCCTGGCTAGCTGCCTTCACTAGCCTTAACAGGCTATAGGCCAGATATTCCTTACCCCTAACCTAGAATAAGGAACTGGTATAGCTTAATTTAAAAGCATATTAACAGCCCATTTTTAAAGAGATAGATGATCCAGCTAGACCCCAAGTAGCTGTCGGGGAAGCTGCCCCCTGGGGAAGCTCATGGCTTCTCACCTTTCCTAACCATGCTGCATTACCTGCGGCCTGGTACCATGCTGACCACATCCAGACCTGTCACACCAGCAGGATATGCCCCCAGCCTAGCAAAGCCCACCAGTAATTGCCTGCAGGAGCCGGCAGGAGCCGAAATGAAGAGAAGGGCCCTCACCAGCATCAGGCTTGAGAGAGAGACAGATCTCCCTAGTAGATGTAGGGGTCTCCGTTCCAGGACACCCCCAGCACCCTTTTTTGCCTCCCACTTTTGGCTCAGCTCTAGCCCAGAGGGTCCTTCACTCAGTCCAGACCTCCTCCTCACCAGGAGTTTTGGGTCCTCCTGCTTGGGTCCCCCTCTTCCTAGAGTCTGTCAGTATTCTCCCCAAAGATGTGGCTGCCCAGACTCCTAATTGCAAAAGAAGACAGCAACAGAAAGGAGAAAAGTCAAAAAGTCATTTAAATGAAAAACACAGTGCTTCCTCTTGTATAGTGCCCTGGGAAGATGGTAACAAAGCTGTTTTGCCTCATGCATATCATGTCTGTGGACGTGACAGATGGAAATGGACCACACGAGTGTGTGAGTTTGGTGGCACAAAGTACCATGAATTGGGTTCAGTCTGTGCCATGACTTTCCAAGATGCTGAAAGATTCTGGACAATGTCCCAAAGATCATTCTGGACAATGATCTTTGCACAGGGCTTAGTTGTATTCCTGCAAGTTGAGTGTATGTTAACAGCCCCAAACTGTTGCCCACTGGATGGCAGTAACACCCCCTCTGTGGAAGAAACCACCCCCTTTTTCCTCTTCCAAACCTACAGAAAGCCTCCAGAACCACTTTAGTCAAGTCTTCTTGCCCCAGAGAGAGGCAGGTGGAAACAGGTGACAGTTGGGACCTATTGGTGTGAGTCTTCTGGCATGCTCCATTGGTCAGAGCCAGTGAAGCCAGAGTAGCTTTTGACAAGCAACTTTTACCAGAATGTGAGGTGTGACAAGCAAAGCAAGGCCAGTTTCCTCTGCCTGCTGCCCACATCCCTGTGGCTGTGGCTATAGCACTGAGGCCATTCCTGACTTAGAGCCTGCCCTGGCTGTCCTGGGAGGTGTCCCAGCCAGGCCCACGTGCTGCTGACACCGCCCTCCCCACCCCCCGTTCCAGGATGGTGTTTTTCTTAGAGGACGTCATGGCCTGCACGAAGCGCCTGCTGGAACGCATTGCAGGCTGGCTGCCTCGCCATTGCGTGGGAGCCGTGCTGGTATCCCTGCCTGCCCTCGCCGTCTACTCCCATGTCACCTCTGAATTTGAGACAAACATACATGTAAGTAATGCTTGGTGGCCTTATTCTCTGGGAAGTGTGTGTGTGCATATGGGTTTCTTCTCCTTAATAAGCCTGATTATTTGTGATAGCAATTTAAATACAGGCTGTGCCCTCTAAGAGACAGACAGCCTGTTACTGCCTTGACCTCACTTTTTAAGGATGACTTGGTACAGCCTGTACAGGTGCCCAAGCACTGTAACTGGCTGTGCCAGTAAAACCCCCAGCAGGTGCAGCTCCTTCCTGGCTTCACCCCTTCCCACTTCTGTCATGGACAGAGCTGACCGGTGTTGGTTCCCTTCTGTGGAAGTGTGTAGAGCTATTCTGCTTGTTGCTTTCAGTACATTATGCAGGAGGTGGCATGAGATATTCAGCCCCTTGCTATAAACAAGCTTGTATAAGGTGGTGTGAGAGTTCAGGGCACATTTGAGCTAGGTGAGGCTAAGGTGGTGCTGTGCACTGGCTCTTGGTATACTTTCTCCATCAGCCAAGGAGCATCTGTGTTTTCCTAAGAAGAATCTGTCCCGCCTTTCCAGATGATAGAAGACCATGGGTCAGTCTTCAGAACTGACACCAGTGAAGGACCCAGGCTGGGTCTCCTGCCAAGAGTCAGAAAAGGGGCTTCTGACTTAAACACCATGGGGAGTAGGCAAGCTAGTGCTGTTGTAGATCATGTTTCCGGTGCAAGCTTTGGAGATGGGCTACTATCATACCACAGCAAGCTTCAGTGGGCCCGTGGAGCAGCTCTGTGAGAGGAAGTGATCACTGGCAGTAGCGCCTGGGGTGGCCTCACCCTGCCTTCACACAGCAGCACACACCTGGAGGAAAGTCTTGGTGACTTAGCTGCTAAAGGCCTGGGTCATGAGTTTAAAGACTCACTCTGTGCCTTTTGGCAGGTCAAAGTTATGCAGAGATAAGTGATTTGGTGGCATCAGCCATATTTTGGTACAAAATAGAACTGCAATGCCAGGGTATCTCAGGCAGGACATGGAGACGGCGAGAAGAGCCCACCATAACACCTGCTCTCCTTTCAGTTCCCAGTGGTTACAGGCTCAGCTGTGCTGGTCGCTGTGGTGCACTACTGTAACTTCTGCCAGCTCAGCTCCTGGATGAGGTCCTCCCTGGCCACCGTCGTCGGTGCTGGACCACTGCTCCTGCTCTATGTCTCTCTGTGCCCGGACAGGTATGTGACTGGCACTGCGGGCCTGGCACCCTTGACCTTGATCCCTGTGTCATTTAGGGCTCAGCCATTTGTGCATTTGCACTGTCATCTCCTAGATGACAGGATTGTCACAATGACCCCAAAGAGCTTTCAACACACATAGCATCCCCAAAGTCAAATGCCCCAGAGAAATATGTGAAAGACACAGCTCTAACAGCACACTGCAGATTGAGCAGCCTTAATGTGGAAATTCCAAGTGTTCCCAAACCCATAACTTTGCGAATCTATTGGTTTGGTGTATGCCAACTTTGTCTTGTGTGCTAAATTACTAAAGCTGTATAAAATCAGCATCAGACTGTGTGTATAAGGTAAATACAAAGCAGGAAGAGATTCTGTGGTCAGATTGGAGCTAACCTGTCCACAGGAGAGCTCATTAATGCACATGCAGATGTCCCAAAATCCAGAATTGATCTGAAATCTGAATCACTTCTCCACCCAAACATTTCAGGTAAGTGCTGCTCAGCCTGTACCTACACGAAAACAGACAGCCCGGAAGATGTAACATGCTAGGACTTAACTGCTAAAGAATGACAAAGTGAGACCTGAAGCTATTTCATACAGGACAGTCAAGAACATGAAAAAGCAAAATTATAAGAAGATGTAGCAAAGAAGAGTTGGTCCTTACCTCACTAGAAGTCCGTTTGCTGCACATAGGCAGGTTTGCAGCCCGTAGAAACAGAGGAAGTGACAGTACACAGGATCCTGCAAGTGACCAGGGGCCCCTAGAAATATTGTCAGTAGTCCCCCTCGTGATGACCTGAGACATACGTCTTGGATCTTGAAATCCCTCCACACCCCAGGGAGCACATTCGGTCTCTGATGCTCAGAACAGGCTTTAGAACCAAACCAGTAACAGGCACAAAGGAACGGAGAGGCTGGTGTGGCAAAATACAAGGAACATGTGGCAGCCTCTGGAGACAAGACCAGTTCTCATCATTTGGCTACAAAAATAATTTAAAGATGTAGGATGTCAGTCATAGGTGTGATCTTGAAAAGTTCCTGCGTTGGTGAATAGAAGTGAGCTCCCCAGCTTACATGTCTTGCTGATTGAGAATGGTTCTTAGCTCTGAAGTGCCCCCTAGGTGAGACACAGCTGTGGCTGAGGAGTCCTGCTCTGGTAAATTCGAAAGCACAGAACTTTTCAACTCACACATCCTCGGCAGCATCAGATGCAGTGGTCCTAGTGAAGCTTTGGATATTAATGAAGTGGTGGCCGGTAATGGACCCTCAGTTTACTCAATAGAATAATAACAATGTGAAAGATAGTCTGCAAATCAAGATCAAAAAGAAAATTTGAAGTAAAACTGCCATTCTGTATTTGAAAATGAACTTTAATGAGTCGTTGAATTACTTTAAGCACAATGCAGCATCTATTTATTTGTCTGAAGGTGGAGCCATTACAGAACTCTACCAGAACATGAAATCCAGAAATTGATGTGGTTTTTTGTTTTGCTTTGTTTTGCTTTTAAGATTTGTTTATTTGAAAAGCAGATCTAGAGACAGAAATAAAGAGAAATCCTCCCTTGTACTGTTCACTCCCCAGAATGCCACAACAGCCAGCTTGAAGCCAGGAGCCATGACCCTCCCCCAGGTCTTCCTCATAGGTGCAGGAGCGCAAACACTTGTACCATCTTCTGCTTTCCCAGGCATGTTAGCAGGGAGCTCAGTTGAAAGTGGAGCAGCAGGCTCAGTGCAATATCCCAGTGACTAAATCCTCACCTTACGTCCACCAGCATCACATTTGGGCACTAGTTAATGTCCCAGCTGCTCCACTTCCCATCCAGTTCCCTGCTTGTGGCCTGGAAAAGCAGTCGAGGACAGCCCAAAGCCTTGGGACCCTGCAGCCAATTGGGAGACCCAGAAGAAATTTCTAGGCCCTGGCTTCAGTTTGTCTCCACTGTTGTAGTCACTTGAGGAGTGAAACAGCAGATAGAAAATCTTTCTCTTGTCTGTCTTTCTCTGTGTCTATCTGGTTTTCCAACAGAAATAAATAAATCTTAAAAAGTAGAGCAGCCAGGACTTGAACTAACACCCGTATGGGATGCCAGGATTGCCGGTGAAGGATTAGCTTGCTATGCCACAGAGCTGGCTCCTAGAAACTAGCTTGTTAACCTTTCACATCTATCCCATATGTCACAGTGCCATCCACAGTGTTGTCAGCCACATTTGTGGTGCTTTCGTACTAGGATCCAGATATAAACTAATGGAGGGCCATTCCATCACCCTTCTGTGAACCCAAGTAGCAGGTCCCAATGGAAGGATGAAAGCTGAAGCTCTCCTGGAGCCATCAATGCCATCACCCTTGCCAGAACGTGCATGGGGCAGTACCCAGAAATGAAGTTGCTTGTATTAAAGGTGGGACTTCCAAGATGGAAGATGGCCTTCAGTCTTGGGGGACATGCACAGAGGACGACAGTGTCAGAGAGAAGGGAAGTTTGCTTATACGCCTGTCAGCTTGCTTTCCAGGATGTTGTATTTGCCGTTTATAATCATATTTTTTCTACACTTTAATTTCAGTTCCATAGTAATTTCACCCCTTGATGCAGTACAGAATTCCAGGTAAGCTTTTTAATATTGTACCAATATCTGAGTAAATGAGATCCCCTGTGCTGTTATTGCTTATCTTCAACTTCCTGGAAACACTTGCAACTTGAAAGAAATAAATGATATTTGTGTTCTTAAAAGAGAAGGTGGAAAATGTCTAATTGTTGAAACGCCAGAACATAGTTAAAAAATATCTTGTTAGTAAACTAAAATGATTATTAAGACATACTGGCATTGGGTTCATTTTATATAAGATATTATCAAGTTAGGAAGGAAATCTCAGAAATAGAAAGTTATTTTATTCTGTAAAACATGTTGAAATAACTGACTAGAAGTTTCAAATAATTAATATGGAATCCTTGCTTTACTATAAATAAATTCCAAATAGGCTAAAGAGTCAAAAATAGAAATTAGATTATGTGAGGTACTTCAAATATTTTGTGGAAAATAAATTGAAGAGACCAGCGCTGTGGCATAATGGCTTAAGCATCCCGTATGTGTGCTGTCTCAAGACCCAGCTGCTCTACTTTTGATCAGGTCCCTGTTAATGGACCTAGTAAAGCAGCCAAAGAAAGGCCAAGTACTGGGCTCCTTTATCCTGTGGGAGACTCAGAGGATGCTTCCTGCTCCTGTTCTCAGCCTTACCCGGCCCTGGCCATTCTAACCATTTGGGGAGCAAACCAGTATGCAGATGATCTCTAAGTATCAAGATAAAAATAGGGGGAAAGACTGGAAGAAAATGCAGTAGTACCTCAATTTTAGGATATGGATGAATCATGTTTAGATTTATACTTTTTCCCTAAATTTTCTAAAATTGAGTAGGAAGTGTTTTTAACCAGAAATTAAATTTTTTTTTTAATTTAAAAATCCAAACAGAAAGAGCCTGTGCTCCCAGTCCACAGGGAGCAGCTGTCTTGCTGTGGCTGGTCCAGCTGGAGAAGAGCTCCAGAGGGGCTCAGGAGCAGCTGTGCAGCAGAGGGCCAGAGGTGGCATCTGCCTTACAGGAGGACGGTCTGGGAACAGCAAACACTCAGGGCGGCTTGTGGTCCACATGCACAAGGACCCAGTCCTCACTGCAGCGTGGCTTGTGGTCAGCAGCTCTCTGCCAAGGCCTCCGTGCAGGGGCGAGAGAGCGGCAGCCCTGGTGCTTGTGGGAGAAGGACGCTCACTGCCCGCTATCCAGACCATCTGAGCATCTCACAGTGCAAGTGTGCATTGCTCTGCAGCTGCTCAAGTTCTGTTTGGCAGAACGGAACTAACCCAGAGAAGAGGGAAATGTATTTAATCCATCAAAAATCTTATATAGGCACGTGGAGATCAGGGAACTCACCCTAATTCTTTGTAACATTACAAGTCTGTCAAATTAGAAATATAAAAAGCAAATAGTTAAAATTTGTGGCAGAGTGGAAGGACTGTTAATGGTATTGTGGTTACATAGAGAAATATCTTTATTCTTAGGAAACATTTACCAAAATATTAAAGACTGAAATGTCATATGTCAGCAGTTACCTTCAAAATGCTTAACACAGTTGTGTGTGTGTGTGTGTGTGTGTGTGTGTGTGTGTGTGTGTGTAAAGAAAAAAGACAAAGAGGCAAAATATTGTTGAACCTGGGAAAAGCATGTCTGCATATTTACTTTATGAGTCTTTTGATTTGATACAAGATTGAGCTTTTTTTGAAAAATAAAAGATGAAGGAAAATAACAGATTTTTTAAAGCTAAAGAAAAAACCAGGTTGCAGCATTTGTTAAAGAAACCAGGTACCCAAACCAGTCTTTCTCTCTGCATGTCTTCATCCTGCTGAACAAACAGAACCAGGAGGCTGCAGCCTTCAGCTTGGCAACACTTTGCATGGGATGCCAATTAGCTGGGCCGTACCCCAACTTTCCCTCAGTAGGAGAGGCACTCAGCAGCTCTGTCCTTTCTCATCTTTTTGCTCTCCAGTTCCGGGAGGAATCCATGCAATAGCTCGTTGCTGCAGGACAGCAGGAGGCCAGGAGGCCCCGTGGGTGAGGAGCTGATTCTCGTCTTTTTTCTCCTACTCCTGTTGGTCTGGTTCCTGAATCGAGAGTTTGAAGTCAGCTACCGCCTTCACTACCATGGGGATGTGGAAGCGGATCTGCATCGCACCAAGATCCAGAGCATGCGGGACCAGGCCGACTGGCTGCTGCGGAACATCATCCCCTACCATGTGGCAGAGCAGCTGAAGGTGTCCCAGACCTACTCCAAGAACCATGATAGCGGGGGGGTCATCTTCGCCAGCATCGTCAACTTCAGTGAGTTCTATGAAGAGAACTACGAGGGCGGCAAGGAGTGCTACCGGGTCCTCAATGAGCTGATTGGGGACTTTGATGAGCTCTTGGGCAAGCCGGACTACAGCAGCATTGAGAAGATCAAGACCATCGGGGCCACGTACATGGCAGCATCAGGGCTAAACGCCGCACAGTGCCAGGATGGCAGCCACCCCCAGGAGCACCTGCAGATCCTGTTCGAGTTTGCCAAGGAGATGATGCGTGTGGTGGATGACTTCAACAACAACATGCTGTGGTTCAACTTCAAGCTCAGAGTCGGCTTCAACCATGGGCCACTCACGGCGGGGGTCATTGGTACCACCAAGCTGCTGTATGACATCTGGGGGGACACGGTCAACATTGCCAGCAGGATGGACACCACCGGGGTTGAGTGCCGCATCCAAGTGAGTGAGGAAAGCTACCGTGTCCTGAGTAAGATGGGCTATGACTTTGACTACAGAGGGACCGTGAACGTCAAGGGGAAGGGCCAGATGAAGACCTACCTTTACCCCAAGTGCACGGACAACGGGGTTGTGCCACAACACCAGCTGTCTATCTCCCCGGACATCCGTGTCCAGGTCGATGGCAGCATTGGACGGTCTCCCACAGACGAGATCGCCAACCTGGTGCCTTCTGTCCAGTATTTGGACAAGACATCCCTGGGTCCTGACCCTGTGCAGGCCAAGGACACGCACCCGTCTTCCAAGAGGCCCTGGAAGGAGCCCAGTAAAACCGAAGAAAGATGTCAGCTCAGCCAAGCCATGGAGAAAGAGGACTGTGAAGACGTGGCAATGGAGGAGGCCGACGAGCTCACCAAGCTTAACGTCTCTAAGAGTGTGTGAGGCGGCTCCGAAGCTGCCCACGGTGCTCCATTTGTCAAAACACAATAATATTCACACCTGGCTGCGGTGCTGCCCCAGCGCCACGGTTTCTGTCCCCAGATGTGGTATCATGTGGTCATTCCCACCCTCCCTCCTGTGTGGGTCACAGTTCTTCAGGGTTCGTTTCCGTACATGTCTCCTCTTTTTTGCACCCTCTCCCTGGAACTCTGCCCTCCTTGGGGTCGTCCATTCAGCCGTGCGGAGAACAAGTGCCTTCAGGTTGGCTCTGGCCTTGGGCCTGGGACCGAGGCTGCCGCTGGTGGAAATCTTGGCTTCAGGTCTCATCTGACGTTTGAAACAAAGGCTATGGTTCAGATGTCATTGTTTTAAATTTCTTTTTCTCATGAGACACTTTTTGTTGTCCAGCTCATACAATGACATATATTGAGTTTCTTTTCTTGTATGTGTAACAGTGTTCCCCAGTAACCTGGCCTTCCTCTGTAAGCACACACACGCACACACACACTTGCATTTACGGATCTGACATAAAGTGCCAGTAATTCACCTAGAGGGGCCCTGGAGGCAGGGGTGGGTGAGGTGTGGGCTGAAGAAAGCCCAGCCAGTCCCTCCTCCCCCACACTTTCCCAAGCGCCAGGGGCCGCATTGTGGGCTGTGGGTGGCCCTGGCACCCACAGGCAGGCCAAGGTCTCCAACACTCACCAGGCACCGAGCTCGTGAGCCCAGGCCTCAGGTACCTCAAAGCCGTCTCTCATCCCAACCCTCCACCGAGGGGTCTTCCAGTTGGGAGCGGAGGTGTTCTCTCAGAAGCTGATGCCTGAGGGTTGCACTTATTTATTTATTTATTTATCAGGAGATGCTGTGTTGGGGAGGGGGTACCGGGCCGTCTTGTGGAGGGAGACAAGCCTAGGGAAGGTAGTCCACAGAGGTTGCAGCCAGCTGTGTCCCCCAGCACTTCAGCCTCCTGGAGCCAAGTGTGGGTGGGGGTTTTGGAGTTGGGGGGAACCTGGGGAGAGGAAAACAGCGGCGGGGGGGGGGTGGGGGGTCCTCCTCTCAGCAGGGGACCCGGCTGGGCCTGAGGCTGATCTGGGCAGGGCACTAAGTGCAGGGCCTAATGGGGGCAGGGTTTCATCCCTGGAGCTGCTGACAGGCAGTCTGTCCCAGCTTCAGGACAGAGTCATCCATGTGCAAATGAAGCAACTAGCCAGAGTGGGAGGAGTCTCAAGCCTGCCGTAAGTCACAGCTTCACGGCAGCTCTGCTGAGGCCGCATCAAGTCTGAAGCTTCTCATCCCGGCCAAGACCAAGGTAGTTTTCTCTGGCGATGCAGGCGTGCGGCTCACATGACGAATGATGCTGGCTCCACGTTCTGCCCCTTGAACTTTCCTCTCCCTGATGAACTTCACCATGGAACTATCACATCAGCCTGTATTTTGTCACTCCTCCCCAAAGACGGACAGAACCTGCCACCTCGGGCACTTGTCAGCCACCAGTCCTGGGGCTTTGCTGGAGCAGGACATCACCACCTGCAGGACATGGAACCTTCTCAGTGGTTGTGAGATTTTTCCTTCAGGTCTGACTGTCCGATTTTTTGGTCTTCCAATCCTGAAGAAGATGGCTGTGACAATACCTCTCGCTTCTGAAGAATGTATTCTTATACAATACTGCAGACATTTTTTTTCCTTAAGAGAACACTACCTGATGCTTTCCTTGTATGCAGGGACTGTGGGCACATTAGTGTTGTCTTTCCATCAGTATTAAGGTGTGTATCTGAGTGTCATCCTCTTCCACTTTCCACCTCCAGGCCATGTGGCTTTGAAGGGCTGGTGGATGCCAGTGTCTCCGTGGTCTCGCCCAAGGTGTGCCCTCCCAGGTTCACCTTTGCACACACTTCTTTGCCGCGGGATTCTTTCCCTCTCTCCCACAAAGGCATCCGCGATTCCTCGCTCCAAGAACCAGCCTCTGGTGGTCCGTTGATCTGAGCAAGGAGGAGCCCTGGCACAGGGCGCCTCACCCAGTGTATCACATGGTCTTTCAAAAGCAAGACCTCAAGCCTTCCTCAGTAACCAGGATGTATGTTCCCCTGGGACTAGGCAGCCCCTTGGGCCCCTGCAGCTCCCTGCTCTGAGCATACCTCAACACAAAGCCACAGAGCCTCACGGCATCCAGGAGTTGTTGGAGACAGCCGAGTTTCTCAGCCGTGGGCTCGCACGCCAACCCGCAGGCCCAGGCACACTGTGCAGGGTGGCGGTGCCTCTTAGGGACACAGGGCAGAAAGCAATATCCCCTCCACCCCTGAGCGGAGCTGTGTAAATAGCTGCTTCCGTCCCAGCCGCTCTCTCCTTTTTCACCCAGCTCAGATCAGAAAGTTGACACATACGTAGGCACACAGACACACACAGTCAGCAAGCACACGCAGACACATGTTAAAGCATCCGTTAGGACCCCTCCACGAGCTGGAAGAGGCCCACAGGCTGCGCCCACGCATGACCCCTGCGCCCCTGACCGCACCGAAAGACCGTAGCTGCACATTTGCACATGACCCTGAGAGCCTAAGGCAGCGCACGCCCTGCTACCCGGGCTGTAACCATTTGTAGTTCCCAAAGATAATGTCTGCATTGGAATTTCTAGATTTTCAAGGTGAGCATTTTGTTTTGATTGGTTGTTTCAGAAATCACATCATGCTTACTTAGAGTCTGAAATTAAATGAACAAGAACCAACTGTTTGCATTTCCTGTATTTTCTCTGCTCTGCTCTTTTAAAATTGTTAATTCTGATCATTTGAAAATGCATCCACTGAAGAAATGGACATTAAACTCTTCTAAAACCTGAACACCCGATGTCTGCACTTCCTCGTTGAAAATATCAGGGTCGTCCTCGTGCTTTCTGGTGGAAATAGAAAGATTTATTTTTTCCCTCAGATTTGTTAAAAATTACCCTGTGTGTCTAAACGTGTGTGTGTTTTAATGAAGCTATTTCATATAGTTAACCTTGGTTGAAAAGTATTTTACCTGGGAAATTTTTTTTTAATTAGGCTTTAGTAAAGTCTTAGTGAAGTTTTGCTTGTGAAGATTTCCCCATTATTACAACCTTCCAAACTCCTAACTGCAGGAATTGACTAAGAGGGCAAACCAGGTTTTGTGCAGAGACTGACTCATTCCAGACTGCAGGTGCGGTCCAGGTGTCTGCATGGGCCCACACCAGTGCTGAGCAGATCCTCAAACCCAACACTGCATTACCAACATCCCCAGGAATGAGGGAGCATGCTGAGGGCACGCTGGGGGCCTGAAACCAGCATAGGAGGCAGCCTCTGAGTTTCACAGCAAGCGCTGGAACTTGTCATTTTGTGGCCCAAAGTTGGCCTTGCCCTGCTGTTACGGGGCGAGTCTGTCCTAGTGGAACAAGTCCTAGGAGGAGGGCCATAGGAAAGGAAGACTGTATGTTTTCACACTATGCATGTGTCTGCTTTGAACCTTCACAAGTGCTTATGTGGTTCCTTGACCTACTCTCAACGGGGAGTGTCATCTCTGCTTGGGGACCCGGGCAGAATGTCTGTGTTCCTGCTGGCCCCCCAAGTGTGCAGAAGGGGTGAAGGACGTGACACCCACCTCGAATTACATTCACCAGCAGCACTGATTGTGGACCTCACAAGCCTCTTAGAATCTGATGGAGGATGTGGCTCCTTTAAAACTGCACCTAAAAATTAACCCTCTTGACATTGCATGTGACCTTGGGACTTGATGGAGCCGAGCAGGGCACCCCAATCCCAGGAAGCAGAAGAACAATGACTTTAGCTTACAACTCTCAAGGTCAGCACCCCAAGCAATCTCCAACTCTCTCTGGGAAATGCGTCCAACAGGTTCATGCTTTTCATGTTTGTTTCAGAACTGCATGTGTGAAGTATGCATGTATGGGAGCCAACAAACTTTTCAACGTATAAAATACAAAGTCAAATGATTTCCAACAGAAAAATAAGATGCAGCCAGTGTTCACTGAGCACCCGCTCCCTTCTATTCAGGCCATGAAACTTGGTGCGATACTTAAGGATGTTTGAGAAACAGCTGCCCTCGGAAACTCTGTTCTGCATTCTGGCTTTACCAGCATGAATTCCCCCAGAAAAATTAGAGGACTTCCAGGATACCTGAATCACATGGTGGCATCCTTGTGCTGATGGACATGTTAAAATGGTGACCACCAGCATCCACACAAGGGCGAAGAGCTAGCCCCCTACAGGGAACGTGGAAAGGACTTGGTGGTGGCCCCAGTACTGGGCAGCCCATTCCACAAGTGCTGCCCTTGAGATCATCAGTGGCACTGCAGCAGCAGCAGTCCTCTCCCAGTAATGCCAGTGGCCTCAACACAAGGTTCCAAGCTGAGCAGAATGTTGACTCAGCTGACTAGAGAGCTTCGCAGTAGGAGTCATGTCCTGCCCAGGAGGGGAGTGTCCCTCCTCCCCAGAGCTGAGTGTCCAAGGGCCACAGTCTCCACCAAATGCCCTCTCCGTCTGGGGACAGTGAGGAGGCAGGGGTCACCTTTGCAGCTGACTCAAGGTCGCTGACCTTCATCTTCTCAGATGAGATGCTGGGAGGAAAGAGGGCTGTCAGCAAGGAGGGCTTGCTTTGATTGGTCCACGTGATCTGGGGAAAGGACAGCAGAGCTGAGGTGTCGCTTGAGGGCTCCTGAGGAGGTGGGCTTGCTAGGGCCAGAAACAGATACAGGCAGCACCCCACAGCCTCCAAAACTGGCACCAGTTCTGCTGCAGGACTGCCCAGAATATGTCCCATTCTGACCTGAGCAGGTGCCCTCTGCCCCTGTTCTGCCATCATCCTGAACTCTGTCCTGTGCTAGCTTCCAAACCTGACTATAAGGGAGTGGGTATACAACAGCCTGGTGACCAGATCCCTGACTGGTTGAATGAGAATGATTTTGGGATCCAGTAAAGTCCATGCTCCTGCCTAAAGAGACAGTCACCCATCACTTGCTATTTTTCTACCAAGGAAATCAGAACACATGGACCCTCGCCTGGCCTCATGATGCTTCCTGGATATAGGTTGGCAGAGGTGTCCTTTCCTGTGGAGCAGATCAGAAAGTGCAGGGTCAGAGCACCCGAGTGGTTCACCCCAGTTTAGCCCCTCACCGGCCGAAATTCCCAGCCACATAATTCTGCTGATACTGACAGCCAACAAGTCCAGCATACTGCCAAAAACATGTGCTTCCAGGCATGGCGTGATAGCCCAGTGGTTAAAGTTCTCGCCCTGCCTGTGCCAGGATCCCTTATGGGCATCAGTTCATATCCTGGCTGCTCCACTTCACTTCTAGCTCCCTGCTTATGACCTGGGAAAGCAGATGAGGACAGCCCAAAGCCTTGGGACCCTGCACCCACGTGGGAGACCTGAAAAAAGCTCGAGGCTTCTGGCTCCAGATCGGCCCATCTCCAGCCATTGTGGCCGCTTGGGGAGTGAACCAGTAGGTGGAAGATCTTAGTCTTTCCTCTCTGTACATCTGGTTTTCCAATAAAAATAAATAAATCTTAAAACACACACACACATGCTTCCGTTTCTTTCCTCCCCCTTGCCTTTGCAAAGGAAAGAACGAGAGACCCAGGTGACAGAGTTGGATATCTGTCTGTTTAATAAAAGGCCAGATTAGGGGCCCGGCATGGTAGTATAATGGTTAAGGTCCTCGCCTTGAACGCACCAGGATCCCATATGGGCGCCAGTTCTATTCCCGGCAGCTCCACTTCCCATCCAGCTCCCTGCTTGTGGCCTGGGAAAGCAGTCAAGGACGGCCCAAAGCCTTGGGACTCTGCACCTGCCTGGGAAACCCGGAAAGTTCCTAGGTCCTGGCTTCGGATCGGCCGT